ACCAATGCTACACATATTGAAATTTCGCTTGATTAGATCCAGTAGGAAAGGAGTTATGACTGAAAATTATAACTGGAGAAGCATTTGGCCGAATACTTTTGAACGCTACTGTAAATACAGCTGAATAACACCCCATAATCTTGCTTTATTCCGACCTGTACAATCCAAACAACGACTTCTTCATCATAGAGTGAACAGAGAGTGACTTGGGTGAAGGTTCTATCCCTGCGTTTACTGCATCCGTATGACTTGTATAAGAACTTCGTACTACTAGGGCAAGTTCTAAAGAACTCTGCCATCATAGTAATTCATCCTAGTTGACCACTAATCAGCACAAGTTGATTACAATTCTGTACTCCTTCCGACACTATCATTTACTGGATATAGGATTTAATCAAGTGAATGAATCATTTGTATGTAGCGGTCAAATTCATTGTAAGATTACTCGCACTTGTCAACCGTTTATCTGAAAATAGTTTTCAACTAATTAGTTTTGCACTTCCCATCTGAAATTCCCACAGTTTGGTGTTGGCGAGGCTTTTCTGTTCATAACGTCATATACAGGAGCTATTCTCGAAATATTTTGATTTAATCCGTTCATTTTCAGGTGAAAGTGCTCTTTTCATTCCTTCTACTTACATACCCTCTTTTCAACTCTATATGTATACGTCAGAGCATTTAAGGGTGGAATTCCTGCCACTTCTCACTTATGAGCGATCGGGAATTACATTCTCGAAATCTTTACTTTTACTTAATTACTTTAACTTTAGCCTTTGAGTCGTTCTTTTTCAGGTAAAGTTATTCTCCCTTCTCCTTTCCAGGGCCAAGATGACCGAGGACATGAGAATGAGACACATAAGCGATTATTGGATGATCAGCACACTGGTTTTTTTCAACATTGCTGGAAATTTTGGAAATTTCAACCTTATTTGGTTAACGGTTCGCCGAAAAGAACTTCGCTCTAAAGCAGGTAAACATACTGGCAAAGTTCCTAAAGTGTTTTTAGAGAATTACCTAAATTTCAGGGATTTTACTTGCTATAAATGCTGTATTTCAAAGCGTATGTCTGGTATCAACTTTTATTAATGTCACAGTAATCTTGAGTGGAAGTCGGATTGCTCGAAATGTTTGTTATCCTCTTGTAATGCCATTTACAATCGCTTCATCTCTACAAACACCAATGGCTTTGGTGATTGCGATCGACTTGCTTCTGGCTCTGATATCACCATTAAAGTAAGTGTTCAAAAGTAACTTTTAGACCATAAATTGATATTGGATCAAGGATGAAGTTATCGGTGGTTGATCCGTCCCACTTCTGGAATGCGCCTTGCATGCGACTTCTATACAGAATCGTAATGACTTTGTGAAGGCGTATAGGCTTATGCCAACACTAACAGCACATGCATAGTTCAATGACAGAAACGAAAATTCAGTACGAGCGCTCGGCTCTTACACTAACCCCCTGGCTTACCCATCACCCACCCCGTGTCTATGCCCAAGGCCCCTTTTCGACGCATTGTATATAAAATTGGAAGTGAAAGTTTGCTTATTTATTTTTTTATTTATTTGTACGCAGATAAACAGATTATCCACGTGGACAAATGCTTGCGGTACAAATGAAATGACAGTAACAAACAGAACATAACAAACTCAAGATTATAACAAAACTATACCCCAACAAGACTACGAATAAATGGCGTGAGAAATTAAAAATAGGAGGAGGCAATGTAGAAATAACACGGAACCTCAATCAGGAAGCATGCAAGTCCTATCCGCATGTAGTAGAGTCTTAAAGGCTAGGCCTTTGAAAGAGTTCAGAGAAAGGCGCATAATGTCATCACGTAACATTTTGTTTAAAAGAGGTACAACTCGTGAGGAGAAATATGTGGAGCGAACCCGTGCTCGCGCCAGTGGGATTTTGATTTTAATCGAAAGACCTCTTAACCTGGAAGTGACTAGTTCAAAAAAATTGACCGAGTCTACTGCAGCCGCACCAGTTAGGAACTTAAACGCCATTAGGAGATCTCTGAGCTATCTTCTCATCAACAGACTAGAAAGAGAAAAGACGCGGCGTCGTTCAACACTATCAGGCTTATTAACACGAGGTTGGATTACTGTAAGAGCCGAGTGCCGTACTGTTTTCGTTTCTGTAGTTCACTGTCCTTGTCTTACCAGACGAAATCGATAAAATTTCATACCACAGGTACCGCCAACAGGACACGTTAAAATACATAGTCGGCCTATGTGCTCCAGGAATGATTTATGCTCTATTCATAGGATTTTATGGATTGATAAAAATGGATAATGAAATGCTCGATTTCTGCAATGTTGTTATTGGTAAGCAAGTCCATTAAATTCCTCCCTAGAATAAAATTTGTATGATAGTACACCGAAGTTCGATTGCCCTGAAGTAGTGAATCAGGGGTTGGACGAGAATGTGACGAGAGAAGTTACATGAAAGGGTTATCTGGACGAGCTGTTCGAACGCGCGCTTATCTGGCTGAAATAAGTTGCTAAGCTGTTGGTCCCGGTGCAAATAAGGCAACATCTACAGCTTTCACAACACATAGGAACTCGGCTGTGTACTTCTAAGCTAAGCCGGTTGTGGAGAGCTTATTACGCCCTATCTTGCCGATTTTCGACCCTACAGCGTCCCATAGGCTATCCTTGAATCCACAGGTCCAAAATAAAAAGAATTTTCGTATTGTTCGTGGCAATTCTACACTTATTACTTATCACAAAGTTTTGCCATATTACAGGGTTCTACACGACCGTATGAGGTCTAAGTTTTTGGAGTTCTAAATTTCAATTTTAGTAACCTCAGGCGACATCACGATTTCTTGGTCAGGAAGGAGGGGAGGTCGGCTGAGCCGGCGTAGCCTTACTTGTTGGGGAAGTCACCATCACCCGGGAAGCAGAACGTATTGACATATGAGGCCATGCTTCCATGCAAGGCAGACCTCACAGTCTAAAAAGAATTCGTGGTACAGTAGTACCATTCAGGACTTCACCGACGACATACTTCCTTTCACGACATTACTCCATTGGAATACACAAATTCTCGACCTTCACATGTATGATGGTCGAATCAATTTGTGGGAGACTCGAAGGGAGACTTTTGACAAGGGCAAAGGTTGGTGGTTGGAGCAACAGGCGATCACCAGGGTGCAGCTGTGGGTCCATATTAGCGCCCAAGTTGGATTACTGTAGTAACCGAGCATCTGTTGTGAGTTGCTGCTCCCCTGGCTGTTTGCAATAAATGCATGTTAGTGCCACGTCAAGCGTTTGAGCCAAGACCCATACTTACCATTAGACCACCGTATCATGGGCTCTTTACAAACTGCGAAACCTCTTCAAGGAGTATTCTGGAAGAAATCCATGTAAGCGATACAGAATTGAAGAACAAAGTCGCGATAAATTCTTGAGAACTGAAAATCGTTTAAAATATGGATAGATTGCATTATGAATGAGACATTATTTCAGGACTTCCTCCAACTGTCTCGGCATTGTGGCTTCAGAGCAACGTGTTGTTGAATAGCCTTGTTTTGCTAGTATATTTTGGTATTTTCTTGGTACTCAGATGTAATTGTAAGTTTACCAGTAGTCGTTGCACAGTAACTATCCAAATACGAAAGCAAAAGCCAGCATTGGAATACTCATACCCTCCATGAAGTTCCCTAAGTTTAGATGGAAGACTAACGTGAGGGGGAAAATCAGCATGACGGTCGCAGTTCTTTGTAGTCCATAGCAAACTTTCCTCCTCACCGATCGACGCTGGGTACTCTTTGAATTGTGAGTGACCGGTTTGGGTGCCTTACTGAACTCGCTAACTCTGAAGTAGAGCTGTCTACAAGTGAGAAGAACATTAAATTGCAATTTCATCAAAGTAGGCAACTTTTAATATAACCTCATCCTTATTTTTTCAGATAATGAAATGGCATACAGAGAACATGGACGTGTTGTACGCCGTTTGGCAGTAATCGTGATTGTTTTTGTGTTTTCATGGTTTATGGCGAATTTGGGTGAGTATCAAATGACTGCATTTATACTACCGATGCTGACGGCAGTGTCGGCGTTGGCCATTGATCAATATTTATCCGGTTGATGGTTTTCTTGCTCAATAGTTTTTAAGCGTTGAACATTGCCTTTCCTGTATACATTCTAGTTAAATATATTGCCTTAATCGATTAGTATTGATTTCCTGTTGGTTACAACTTTATTCCCCAAAGAGTGTTTGTTTTTCCTATCTAATTGTTGATTTTGATGATAAGGAATTTTGACCCTATGCTAAGTCATGTTGGAATTCGAATCTTTCGGCAAGGGTTTTCTTCTTTTCGAATGCTTGAAAAGCTACATGCGGAATATCGATCGATGGCCAGCGCTGACGTCCGCGTTGGCGTTTCAAACAAACGAGTCGGTAGTATGAAAGTAAGCGTCATAACGTTCCTATACTTTCTCGGGTGCGCTTCGTTGCGCGCGTCCGTAGAAACTAGGTCACGCCGCAGCCGTCGCATGCGGCGGGTCAGCCCGCGATACTTGACAGACGTCGCAGTTGTCAGTGGGGCATACGGTTTGCGCTTGGTTCACGGCAGTCAGCCAATGAGAAGATAACATGGACAAATGAAAATTATTTGCTCCACTCACACTTGATGGTACTGTAATTTCACCTCGAGACCTCAATGGGGTGCGCCCCGCGCGAACTGGGCGGGGTAACCTACTTTCGAGGGACGCGCGCAACGAACGTTCGCCATATTTTCTCACATTGTGAAATGAACTCGTCGGAATGCATTATGTTGTATGTCCAATACGTTATAGAATGGTTCGGCGCATATCTTCTGTGAATCAGTTCTTTTCAGGCGCACGAATTCTTTCGCTGCTTCCTATTCCATCAGATATATTACCGTACTTTCAGTCAAATATGGTTCGTTACATTACATTCGTTATAAAAGATAGTTTTTAAGTAGTGAAAGCTCCGAATAGTAGAGCTATTTATTTAGACTTGATGTTTTGTCTTGTTAACTGCTGTTTTATGCCCGCAGTACGCGTTCCGAAAGTTTCACAAGGTTGGCAATTTATGGGCAAAACTTCAGTTTCGAACGGTATTCGAACCCGTACTTAAGCTTTCCAGCTGCCGTGCTCTATCCCTTACACTACCAAGTCCCCGCTAGAACTATTGCTTCAACCTTATGTTTTGGTAAGTGCTGTTATATCGCCCTCTATCCGAAAGCTTCACATGATAGAAGAGTTGTNATCTCTCCGGCCCGTTAATGTGCCCTATCCAGCCGTTTTCCGACCTTATTCCTGCACAAATGGTACCAGAGGTGGCTTCGAATTCAAACCATGTGCAAATCTCCGAAACACTTTTTCGTTAACAGCGCCTTTAAGCTTTCCAGCTGCCGTGCTCTATCCCTTACACTACCAAGTCCCCGCTAGAACTATTGCTTCAACCTCATGTTTTGTTAAGTGCTGTTATATCGCCCTCTATCCGAAAGCTTCACATGATAGAAGAGTTGTGAACGAAAATTTGTCCTCGGAGTTTTGTCCATAACTCGCCCGCTTTTGTTTCAACTGTTCAGCTGTGATGCTGTAAGGGATCAATTTGAAATCAAAATGTTTTATCTCGGATACAAGGACAAGAAGAGGAGGAGGGAGAACTCGATTTCGCGATGGATCGCGCGAAAAGGTAGTAGTTGATGTGGTCTCTCAGTATCGAACTGCCATGATCTTGTGTCGTGAATCGTGATCAGCCTCAAAGTCCGCCCCCAGTGTAGCCGATATAGCGCCGTTTAAAATCTGTCCCATAGATTGTGCGCTCCAATCCACAACATGCCAGCGAGTGCGGCAGCGCGACATAACATTTCGACCCTAAAACTCGTACAAATCTGGTGAACCCTTTAGACTGTCTACAATGCAATCAATCTGAAATGGTTCAGGTGCAAGGTTAGAATGGATCACTGACCCTGTTCAAGGTTTAACACAGTATTAGCATTAGCAAATTTAAAATTTACAAATTAGATTTTCAGAGTGTTTCTAATTTTTTTCTGAGAGCCCAAGACGATTTTAGGTGTTCTTCGCGGGCATTTGTTTCTCGCAGAATTTCTATGTCTGCATTTGGAGATCATCTGATTACCGGGAAGCATTTCTGAAACAGATGAGTTCCATATGCCACAGACATTCCGTCAATGGCTCCAGCAATGGCTGTGTAAAACCTTCATGTACGACTGTACTCACCCGAACATGGGCCGAATCAAGTCGAGAACGCAGAAGAAGTCGACCTTTGATATTCATTTGATTTATTTGTTTGTCCAAAAGCTGAAGTGAAGCCATATTTGTAGTCAGTGCGTTCATTGTCAAATATCAAAACTAATAAATTCAAATTGCATGTCATTGCTCTTCAGTTTTACATGCATACATAGCTCTAGAGAAATTGGGTTGAAGTTCATGCCGAGCTGGCTCGGAATTCGCAGTCACCCAAATCTGTGAAAAATTATCCTTCAACCAACAATTTTCCGAGTATCTTCTCATCCAAGTATCTTTTATTTCGCCCAGTACATACTTCTCGCTACTTGAGCTAGTTAAAGGCACAGTTCACGATAAAAATTCTCCCACAGGATGAATTTGAGGCCCCCGCGTATATCACATCTGGCACTATTAGGTCGGAAAACGGCCTAGTTAGGGAGCTATAAAGGCTCAAAGATTGGCCCATGCATATACTCGGACGAGTTTCAAGTTTTCTGTACAGTTCTGGCTTGAGGTAGTCAGTTCTTTGTGCAACTGCAATAACTGAAATCTCGTCCGAATACCTCTTCCATCGCATTTCCGCCATGGCAATCTCGTCCAACCTCTATTTTCCCTGCTTTCGAGAAGCCATATTTTTCTCGAAATCGGCGAAATCTCTCGCTTTCTCCACTACGGGTTAACCAATCCCAATCTATACTTCCGCTATACGAATTAAAACTGGTACATCAAAATTATCGTGAACTGTGCCTTTAAAGGCAAAAGAAATTGGCCTGAGTAGAGCTCGATCCGTGCATGATAAGTTGAGGTAGCGCTCCATTTTCGCCTTTTACGAGATACAGGGATGAATAACCTGAAAAAAGCCCCAATGGACTGTTCTACAAAATGGACAGGAAGGTAATACCTCTAAAGAACAGATGTTCCTATGAAAGCTTCTATTAAAACGGAGTTTCAACTAATTCAAAAGGACTAACCAGAATTAGGCTAATGCGAGGTTTTTTTCACGACATGGGAAATTGTGGCTCTTCTTGCTATGTGTTGCAAGTTTATGAGTAGAGAGCACCTCATTCTCAC